GATAAGCGCAGCCGTTGGTGGCTCTGGGATCACAGTTGAGCGCAGCCGTTGGTGGTGGCTCTGGCTCTTGTTCTGGCTCTGGGTTCACAGTTGAATACCACCACACCTTGTCTTTTAAGGGATTTCTTGATCTAGAACTCAGTTCACCATACTTGTGCACTTAGCACCTTTACCTGCTGAGCCACTTCCCTGAATCCTAGGACATCATTCTTTTTCATTTATTCTCTGGTTCTTCCTAAATGTCATCCCCCTGTTTCAGGCACTCCCCTGCCTAGGGCTCTGAGCCCTACTGAGTTGTCTGCTGGAGGATCCCATAGTTGAATGGCTACAGTGTTGCACTTACTATTTTACATGGTAATAAAGTCTCTGTTTTCCTCACTGTAAGCTCGTTCCCATGCCTGGCCCGAGGTCATCCCAGCCCTATGTCACTGACATTCATGACGGGCCTTGTGGCATGTAAAACGGTGTCTTGTGTTGCTTCAGCCCTCTGTGAACCCTGCATGGTAGACTCTTGTCACAAGGACAGCAGAGCACAGACTTACATTTTCTGTATGAACAACTGCTGGGACTGGACATGGAGCAATAATAACCTTGATGGATTCTGTTAAAATTTAGTCAGATGAGGGGAAATGTCGTTCTGTTGTGTTCTTCACATGCACTGTTGAATGTGAATGACATGCACATTCATGTGAATGAATGCATGGTAAAAACATGTCATTTCTTTTATATATATTTTACATGATAATCCCAGTTCCTCCTCCCTCCTCCTCTTTTCCCCTCATCCTACCCACAATCTGCTCCTCAGAGATGGTAATTCTGTCACCTCGCCATGCTGAAGCAGGACCAAGCCTCCACTCCCGTACCCCCATGTCTAGGCCGAGCAAGGTTTCTCTTCATAGGAAATGGGCTCCAAAAAGTCAGATCATTCATTAGGGTGACTCCTGGCCCCCATGCCAGTGGACCCCAAGCCACTCCCTGTCACCTGCTTTCAGGGGGCCTAGATTTGTCCTGTTCAGGTTTCAAGTTGTCAGTCCAGAGTCAGTGACTCCCACTGGCTCGGGTCAGCTGTTTCTGAGGATGTCCCTTCGTGGTCTTCAGCCCTCTGCTCATACTGTCGCTCCTCCCTCTCTTCAGCTGGACATGGGAGCTCTGTCCAGTGCTTAGTTGTGGATCTCTGCATCTGCTTCCGTCCGTTACTGGCTGAAGGTTTCAGGAGATGCTGGAGAGATAGCTCAACCAGTAAAGGCTAGGCTCACAACCAAAACCATGTTGTTTGGGAAACCGTGCACAGTTACTTTGAACAGTCTGTTCAGGGGCACTTTGTGTTAAGAAGGCGGTGTTCTGCCTCATGGCGAGTTTTTTTTATCCCATTCAGAAACATCCTATGACAAAGACTAGCATTAAAAATGTAATTTGACTTCCTGCTTGTTTTTACTTACATCTCTTACATTTCAGGTATGGTTTCTGATTTGGTTAGAGGTCATTTTTGATTACAGTATTTATTCTGATTAATGGATAGATATATAACCAGTTTCTCACCCTTGCATATCAGTTACTCACAACAAAGGATACACCATAATATTAGTGTTCCCTAACGACAGACTGTAAATACCTCTTCAGTATATCTGCTGTGTGGGGTGTATTCTATATTAATATCTTTCATTTGCATTAACAGTTTACATTGTCTGAAAAAAAAATGAATCCCTTACTAGTTTTTTCATTTTTCATTTTTCTCATGAATCCCATTTTCATCATTTATAATATGGTTCTGCATTACAGTGTTCTCTAAGACAGCAAATTGTTGTCAGAGCTGGAGCGAAGTGGAGTATGGGACCCCAGGTCACCAGTGTGACTTGATCTTGGCTCTGAGTGGCCTCCAGGCTTTACAGTTCCCATGGGAATCATTTTGTACTGCAGAGCTGCAGATGCAGACATCCAGAGGCTGTGTTTTTCTTGGGTATGATTTACAACGTTTGCTTTCTCTTCATGACACAGGTCGATGCCCGCAAATCTGCCCCCTCAATGGTTGATCGACTTCAGAGGCAAATCATTATTGCTGACTGCCAGGTCTACCTGGCTGTGCTCTCGTTTGTGAAACAAGAACTCTCAGGTAAGCGGGAGCGGTTTTAACGTTATTCACTATTCCGTGGACACATCTAATGCTGTCCACTGTTCCGTGGACACATCTAATGCTGTCCACTGTTCCGTGGACACATCTAATGCTGTCCACTGTTCCATGGACACTTTTAACGCTATTCACTGTTCTGTGGACACGTTTTTAATGCTACTCACTGTTCTGTGGACACGTTTAATGTTCACTATTTTGTGAATGCATTTTTAATGCTGGTCACTATTCTGTGGACACAATCAGTAATACTCTTTTTTAAAAAAAAAAAAAAAACTTAGATTTTGAAAACAAACTCATGGCAGTGCTTTGCCGGGAGCGATACTGATTTGTAACTAGGAAATTGAAACCATGGGTGTCTTGTGTGCTGAAGTCCACGTCACAATTCTCAGTCTGGAGATAATTTTGTCTTTCTTAGAGAAATTGATAGTGACTTTCATATGTGGGGGCTTACAGTGGTCATAAAGTTGTACTTGTATTTTTTATGTGAAATCAAACTGGTTTAAATTCAGCTTCTCAGGGAGCTGTTCTCAGCTCCTTCAGTCAAGTGCCTTGGCAGTGACTCCCTGCTGTTCTGAGCCCTGGTGCCCTGGTGAGCTTGTGGAGGGTGGAAACTATGTTTGCCAGGTTTTGGCGCTCTCGGGTCTTCAGTAGGATGAAAGACTGAGAGACTGATTTCCGGGCCCAGTTGTGTGTCTTAGATCCTGACAGCAGAACCCTGCCACTCGGCCGGATGGATTTACATATGGGGAAAACAAAAGAAAGAAGACACTAAGTGGAAATCAGTCCAAATTCTCTCAGACTTTAACTGAAGATACTTTTTCTGTGAAATGTAATTGGTACTTCTCTTTCTAGACAACTGGCAATCATTTCCTCCCATTTTCTTCTGTTTCCATTTCTGTGTTCAACTTGCTGTTGTTTCTATTCGACTTCAGTTGAAAGAGAATTTAACTTTTTATTTATTTATTCGTTTTGACTAACTCCCATCCCACCCCACCTATTCCCATTCCCATCCCCCACCACACCCCATCCCTGCCAGTTTGGAGCGGTGCAGTGACTGACACCCAGCGGCAGCTCACCCTACCTGGAGCACACAGTCACGCTTGTTATTTTGGCATTCTTTTTCTGTTGCCCAAGAATTCTGGTGAGGAACCCATTTTAGCCATTAAGAAAATGATCATGCCCGCAGTGGTGGCGCAAACCTTTAATCCCAGCACTCAGAAGGCAGAGGTAGGCAGATCTCTGTGAGTCTGAGGCCAGTCTGGACAAGTTCTAGGGTAACTAGGGCTATGTAAAGAGACCTGTCGCAAAAATTAAAAATGTATATAGAAAATGTCTAAGAGAGGGTAACTGGGTGTTGGTATATACATTCCGGCTACTTGGGAACTGGCGGAGCTGGGAGATCCCTTGAACTCAGGACTGCCTAGGCAGCAGAAGAGCACAGCTCTCCGCCTCCCCTTCTCCTCACACTCAGTTTTATTTTTCTTTCTGTGTGTCAGGGTGTGGTACGTGTTGAGTACCCTTGGAGTCCCGAAGAGGGCGTCAGATCCTCAGAGCTGTAGTTGGAGGTGGTTTTGGCCTGCCTGACAGGGGTGCTGGGTCTTGTAATCTGTCTGTCACCTGGGTACTCTGTCCCTTTAGAAGACAAGCTCCTCCCACTGCAACCCTCCCTCCCTTCAGCTGAGGCAAGTGAATCTCCCTCCTCCTCTACCAGCTCTCTCTCTCTCTCTCTCTCTCTCTCTCTCTCTCTCTCTCTCTCTCCCTCTCTCTACTCTCCCCCCTTTTCTCCCCTTCCCCCCTGCCCTTTCCGTCTCTATAACCCACTAAATAAACTCTACACCCAAACTCTCACTCTGCATGGTGTATCTGTCTGTCTCTCTCCCGCCACCTGCCAGGGACCCGGCCGAGGCCTACCCCTTTATAAATGATGACACTGGGTACTGAGCTCAGGTCTTTTGGGAGAGCGGGACTCATTCTTAGCCACTGGGCCATCTTTCCAGCCCGAGATGCTGCCTCAGAAAGACCAGAAATTAGACCTTGAAAGAGAAGCAACAGAAAGATGCAGTAAAGTGTTTTATGTGAAAGTTATCAAACATTGCAGAATAAGTTCCTCTGCCCTTCACTGGCCCACTCAGCCTTGCGGAGCTCCTGGGAGTGCAAGCTAACACTGAGCTAGGTGTGCAGACATAGGTGTGGGCCCTGCCCATAGTCACGCTCACCAGACAATCTGCTTTGTTTCTGATGATTCCAATAGGAAAATGGCCAAGCATTGTTATAGAAATACTGAGAAGATTTCTGTTTAAAGAACAACTTAGTCAGGTTATCACCTTCAATGTTTCCACCTAGAAGAAAGGTCCTCTACTCTTTATCTTTCTCAGATGTGTTTTCATGAAATTCAATCTGCAGTATTTTGTCTCTCTCGGCCCTCCCGTGGAGATGGCAGTTTTAGCAGTGTTTCTATGACTGGGTTAAAAATGTGGTTACAAACCATGGCATCGTTTGTTGTGCAGATGAGCCATGGCATACTTAACCAGTTCATGTGGCATCTGTGTGTTCTTTATTGCACATGCTTTTTTTTGTTTGTTTTATTTTTGATTTATTAGGGCAGTGGAACCTATTTCACTTTTAACTCATAAATCATATGGTGCCGTCGGGCCGATGCCCAGGCCCCCCTGTGCTAAGCAAGTCCTTTACTGTGTGGCTGTTGTTCCACCCAGGAGGTTCTGTCTCACAGATGCCTTTCCGGGCTTTGCTTCCCCTTCTCCTCCTCGTCTGCTGCTGACTAGGATAAAGTTTAATCCTGCCTATCACAGACATTTGACAGGATCTCAGTTTTTATGATTTATTAAAGGAGATTCTGAATCTGGACAGAAATTCTCAGAGGCTAACAGCCCTGGATCTGGCCATTTGTTTATTTGCTCTGAATAGTAAGCACACACAGGCAAGAGTGAGCTTCACACAGTAATTCCTCTGCTTTCTTGCTGAGGTTTGTCTTTGCTGTTGGGCTGTGTTGGAGCCCACAGGACTATATAGTAAGTGCACAGCTGGCAGGTTGATAAAGGCAGACCCACAGGTGGACAACTTATGGGGTACCTGTTTTACAGATCTGCGGGAACACTTGTCTTTTGGAAAAGTCACTATCGATTCTGCAAAATCTTGTGAAATCATGGTGTTTCTCCCTTTAAAATGGGATTCATTCCAAAAACACCTCAGCATTGTGGCCTTCCCATCCCCCACACAATGAGGCTTTAGAGCAATAATATTCACTCTTTGTTCTAACAGTCAAATTTACAGAGACCTGCTAACAGACCACACATAGAAATTGTTAAAGACAGGCACCAGTGAGAAGGCAGCCGTGCCCTACCTTTGCTAACAAACAAACCTGGGCATCCCCAAGAGCTGCTCATCACAAAAGAGCCTGGTGAGAACGGGTGGGCCCAGGGGTCAGGACGGTTAGCATCTTTATCTAATGGTTTGGGATGTCGGGTATTTCCCCTCAAGTGTTGGCTCTTCCCTGGGTCGTGCCACCTGTTCCAGAGCACTGCTTTGTCAGGTTCTCCCTGCCCTCTCTCTGGATTTTGATGTGCATGTTGTCATTGTCCTTGCCTATGGAATTTTCCAACTATGACTGTAAAGACTAGAAACCTCGTGGAGATCAGCCCGTGCTCTCTTCACCAAAGGACTGAAGAACATGTAGAGGTAATGTCCTTGAGTTAATTGTTTTACCCTCAGATCTTTGCTTGCCATAGACATCCTATTCTGAGCCCTGGCACACAAGACTCCCATGGGTCTGTTCTGCTTTTCTGAGCTGAGTCTCAGTCTATAGCTCAGGTTAGCCCCCAGTTCATCATCTTCCTGCGTGGGATTACTGGCATGGACCATTACGCCTGGCATCATAGAGAACATTCTAGATGGATACATTTATAGACAAGAATAAAACCACAAACCTCTAGTGTAATTATTCAGCCACAAATAAGGCTGCACTTCCAGGTTCTAGAGTCATGCACGTGCAGATGGGCCCTCAGGCATGGAGATGCCTGAATGTTAAAGGGCCCCACGTGACCCATGTGCGTGTATGTGTGGTTCCATCCACATATGACTCAGCTAAACCCTTGCACGCATGCGTGAGCCCGTCATCTGCATCATCTGCATATGACGTAGTCACGCCAACCCCCTGTGTGCATGCGCTAGGCAGCTTTTAAAAAGCTGGACAGCACCATCTTCCTCCCTCTCTGCACACTGACTTCCCAGGCCTGTACGCACCCCCTCTAATAAACTCCTAAGCAGCTTTGTTGTGTGTTCCATATTTCCTTCTCGCTTGCATCAGGTAATTTCATCTAGCTTCAGAGCTCTCCCTTCTGAGCAGTGGGCACACAAGAGTTCAGCCTTGTAAGAGCACTGTGTCTGCTTCACTTCCTCTCCCACCACGCTGCAATGTGACCCCACATCTTTGTACCTGCAATCCAAGGCTCTTTTCCCCTCTTCTGCAGTGCGCATATGACGTTGTGGAAAGAGGTTGTTGGAAAGCTACCTTGCAGCACTCCCTCCTGGTTTTATTTCCTTGTTCTGTTTGTGGTTGAAGATTGGCCTTGTTGACTAGTTGCTGTGTTCTTGGCGCAGTGGCTCAGATGGCTTTCCTGGCCTTTTCTTCCCTTTCCAGGGAGACAACCACATCTTCCTACTTTGTCACTGAGTTCTGCTGTGACTTCCTCTCTGCCCCTCAGTCCGACTGACTGTCCCAGCACCTGCTTGAAGCCCCACAGTGCAGGTGTCCCTGACCCCTTCCACCCCCTGCTGCTGGAGCTGCCCTCTTAGACTGTGGACACATCGCTGGCCTGTCTCACAAGGTAGAGCCAAGTCCCTTTCATGGTTGGCAGGTCAGCACGGCCCCTCCCAGCATCCTCTGTGCTCATTCCTCAAGGTTCTTTGAAACCACCTTGACAGCTTGTGTCTTAGTTCACCTTGCCCCTCACTGGAAACACACTTTGCCTTCCCCTCTTGCCTAGTCAGGTGTGGCCCAAGGCCTCCCCTTTCCTCATCAGTCCTGTCTGGGTGCTGAGAGGGAATCTTGTGTGTGGCCAAGTGAGCAGCTGTCAGCAGTGATCTGCGTTTTCATTTCTGGGCCTGTTTCAGTGTTGGACTCGTTTTCTTGTTTCTCAAGGGTAGGGACTGTTGATCTGTGCGCTGGTTTTCTCTGGCCCGTGTATCTTAGCACTTCCTCAGTCTGGGCCTGCAATATGACAGCTGCTGATGTCCAGAGGGTGAGTCTTCACCTGAGAACCAAGGGTTTAGCAGGGGGAAAGGAGGAGGAAGGTTGTGACCAGCAGGGGCGGACCTACAGAGGTTGCGCCAGGAGCAAGTGGTTCTGAGCTAAGAGGAAGGCCGAGGGTCTCTGTTCAGTCGCTCTGCAGTTGGAAAGAGTGAGCCAGATTGGAAGGGGGGCAAACTGCTCGCCTCCAATCTCAGCACTTTGGAGGCTGGGGCAGGAGGATAAGACTGTCAAGGCCTAGCCTAGGCTGCTGTCAAGACTGCTAAAAACAAATGAAATAAAACCAAAAGAAAAAAAGCTGATTTTTTTCTCTGTGTCTTGGATGCATGATTGGTGCCACTCCCTAGCACGCGGTGAGTGTGCACTCTGTAGTTGGAAGAGGAACAGAGGGAGGGCAATGCCACCAGGAACAGAGTCTGGCTGCCTGGTGACAGTGACATTACCTGTTCTTCTGGAAAGACAAGGTGTTTGGTAAAGTGCTTGTCTCATAAGCATGAGGACTTGAGCTCTGTCCCCAGAATCCACATGTAAAGCTGGGCATCTGGGCATGGAGTCACACTCCTCCCAGCTGTGATGTTCTGGAGGGCAGGTGACGTCGGAGGCCCACTAGCCACCTGATCTCACCCACTCAGTGAGCTCCAGGCTGTTTCAAAGAAGGTAGGCGATATTCCTGAGAAACAGTACCAGGGGTATCCTCTGGCCTTTACACGCACGTGCTCACATACCCACGTAACACATACCCTTCCCACAACCACTTAGACACATGCACAAGCATACACACTGATGCTCACTCGCAGTAAATCAGCATTTTTCCTTCAAAGCCTGCTGCCTGAGTCTCAGGAAGGTCAGCCTCACCCATCTGCACTGTGGGGCTCCTGAGGCAGGTGCCCTTGCCAGGCGCGGTCCCTGTTCCTTCCAAGGTCAATGTGGTATAACTGGATGCTTTCATTTTCTAAGAAGTTACCCTTCCAGCAAGGATTTCCACTCCCATGTGTGGTGCAGCTTCCTGACATGCCCCATTCCCCCGCCCCCCATCTCCCTGCAGATTGATTCTGACCCTCATGGGGAGGGCAAATGCTCTGTGGTTTCCTGCTCTTCCACCTTCTTAGGCCCAGAGAGATCTCAGGCTGAATGTTTATATCTGCCCTTTCAGAGGAGCCAGGGGAAGGTCATGCCCGTGGGCCTGGAAAGCTGTGTTCTCTGATGGCTGAAGGGAAGTGATTCTTGGAGGCATTGCTAGGTTATAGGTAGTCCAACATTTTCCCCAAGCAGAGCCTCTCCCCTGCAGAGTTGGTGCCTAAAGCCAGCTACATCCTCCTGCTGCATAGTCTGCCCAGTTGCTTAGGTGGCCTCCTGTAGAAGTCATGGTGCTAGGGAGGGAGGAGGGAAGTCCTGGGGAGCTGTCCCAACACAGCTTCATGAAGCGGATTTCCTTCTGTGTGTTAGCTTTGTTTTGCATGCATTTGAGTTTCCAGTCCAGCAAACTCTTGAAGTTTTAATTTTCTTGGCTTAAGTTAAAGCTCCCGAAGTGTCTGTGAGTGCGCACGCGTGTATGCATGCATGCTACACTGTACTTTATCCTCACAGATGCTGAGGCCAGTGTGCCATCTTTGGCATGAAATTCATGTATTTTTGTTTGATAAGAATGGGGTTTTCGTGGGCGCATTCAGTTTTGCTTTATTGACTGAGTTCTATGCAGATTGGAATTGATGGATTTTTCTGTTGGTTACTTTCACTGCTGGCTTTTTTCTCTCATTCCTCTGTTGGGATCTGGATGTCAAAGTTCACTTTCCCCTCACTCCCAAGTTTGGACATTGCCCATGTTTCTCTAGCTGTCCAGATTATCCCTTGGCTAGATGTGATTGGCCACAGCTCCACCTTTGTCCCCTCCTTGTCCCCTGTCCTTTCTCATAAATGAAGATTCTACTTTAATAAGGGAAACACCAGGTAAGTGGAGCTAAGTTTTCCATTTTCAGACCCCACATAATGATGAAGCGAGGAGGAAGACGTGTACGTACTTGTTACAGGGGAAAAAGGAATGTTGAAGTCAAAAGGAGCGCTTCACTCCTAAGCCCAGGATTTGTTCCAGCGGTGGCAAGACCGTCTGTGCAGCTCCTGGAGAAAATTGGAGAACACGTGTTTTTCCTCCTGGGCTTACCTAGGCAGTGTCTGACATGGGGTGTCCTTGCAGTAAGTTCTGTCCAGTTGAATTAAGGAGGATGTCTCAAGCAAGCCTTAGTTTCATAATGAGGTCTTTACGTTTGTTATTACACGGATTTATTCTGCTTATGCAAGGGACGAGGAAGTGCATGTCCCAGTGCCTGTGGGGATCTGAGAACAGCTCACATGAATCAATGCTTCCCTTCTTCCGTCAGGCTCGGAGCAGGGACTTTTATCTCTGAGCCATCTTACTGGCCCAGACTACTTAGTTTGACTTCTCTATCCTTACCCTGTTCGTTTAAATGGACAAAGACTCCAGAATGTTCACCATTCAGAATGTTCATTGTGATTCCATAGGAAGTACAGGCATCTTTTGTTGGAAAATTGGTCTGCTTAGCTTCTAGGATACCCCATGCAAAATGCCCGCAGGACTCAGAGCACAGCCACAGTGTGTGTGGTTTATGACAACAGGATGTGGGGCAGAACCTCCAAAGTGAAGGGTGCCTGGGCCAGAGTGTAGATGGGACCATGCGCAGGTTCCAGTGGCTGCGAGTCCCAAGGGGCGTGCCTTCTTCAGCGTTGACTGAAGACACAAAAGAAATGTGAGCACGAGGACCGTCTCCTCAGAGACCTCAGGCCCAGCTTTAGTACAGGAGGCCGATCCCTTAGGTATCCCCTGCCACACACGTCCCCACATTCCAGACTTCCAGGCAAAGCCAGGTGTCCTCAGAGCCAAATCTTCTGAAATCTGGGCTTTATACCTGGCCAGGGACGCACACGCTGGACAGGCCTTTGGGACGGCAGGCAGGGCGTGGGCTCATTCTGTTCTGCACATCCCATACCCTAGATCTCTTTCAGTTCCAGCACTGACTTTACAGATCCGATTTTATTTGCTATCGTCTACTTCTGACATCATCGCTTTCTAAAGGACGTGATCCTGCTGTTGCAGGAACTGTTGTTGTTGTTGTTGTTGTTGTTGTTGCAGTTGCTGTTGCCTTTGTCAGGTCAGGCTCGCCATTGGTCATGGAGGGCAGAGCAGTAATTTCCCATCGGCAGTGGGGCCAGACCAGTAAGCTTCTCTGTTGTCTCAAGAGAACTTGGTTCTAAAAATTCCTGCCAGGAAGCCTTTTTTTCCCAGACATGAAGATGCTCTTAGATGATCACAGATAAACCTACTCCCCACCTGAAGGTAGACATGTGATCGGGGCAGTGGAGCAGGCCCTGGGGAGCTGAGGGCCTGTGGAGGGGAACAAAGGGGCTTTGGGCAGTGACTCCTTGTCTCGCCTTCCACTTGGAAGTCTCATGTGTGGAGTGTTCTCTAGAGGGTCTCTGTCACCCTCTTCACTTGGAAGTCTCGTGTGTGGGGTGTTCTCTAGAGGGTCTCTGTCACCCTCTTCACTTGGAAGTCTCGTGTGTGGGGTGTTCTCTAGAGGGTCTCTGTCACCCTCTTCACTTGGAA